ACCTAGGGACTTCATTCATCTACTGGTTTGCTGCCTTCCAGTCCATTTTAAATGCTGTTTCAAGGCAGTCCTTTCCCAATCCCAGAATTGATTTAGTTTCTCAAAAGTACTCAGAGGTGTTTTTGTTTTTTCCTCTTGAGTTAAATACATGATCCCTGGCCCTCTTGAATAACCCCAATCAGTCCTGGTCTACTTTTCCTGTTTCATCTGTATCTCTTCTACCTTAGACAAATGATTTTCTTCCAGGGATTCAGTTGGGCTAAGACTTCCCCAACTTTACACAGTCAAAGCTCTGTTTTCCTAAATGCATTCCTATCTCAGGCTGTTCAAACTCTATTAGTTTTGGGAGCTCAGCCTTTTGTAAAGAATATGTGTGTTCTTGAATCCTCCCCTTTACAATGACTATCTCCTGCCACTCATATTCCTCACCTTTGAGATTCTTGCAGCTCCTTCAGTAGTGACTATTAGCTGCTCATTAAATAATTGTTAAATCAAATGGGAAATAATTATAACATATGTTCCGAGGCTCCAAGTTTCTCTGAAACCTTCAAAATTCCAAATATTGCAGGAGATATTTTATAGAAAAGGAGTTATCCATTAGAATAATTCCTTGCTTTAAGGCTCCAGTCTTCAAAGAGGAGAAATATCCTCTCAAATCTCAAATATCTGAATGTTGGCCTTTTCACAAATCATGGGTTATCAGATACTTTCCAGAATAAATTTGCATTTCATTGTCATGTCACTTTGCCTAAAATGGCTACAAAATCTTTGGTTTGTTCCCTTTGCTAGTTCAAAAAAATAATCAATGTTGGAAACATTAGAACAAATCCTACCTCCAAGAAGTGGACTAAATAATGGATATTAATTTCAAAGGGATGATAGAATAAAAGGTTTCCTCACCTTTACTGAAAGCATTAGACCTTTATAAATATTGGGTCATTAAATCATGTTCCTAGTTTATGTGATTCAAGCTATTACCATTTTATAGGAAAAGTAAAAACTTAAATGCTAAAATCTAGACAGTTGCCATGACATTTCTTAGAACTTAGAAAATGGGTGTTAAAATTAGCTTGTCTTCTACCTTTATTTTATTCCTGACCTAGGTCAGTTATTTTTATAGTGATGTTAGTGCATTATGAATGATTCATAGGAGAAGGTTGTTTGAAAACAACATTTTAAACTTAGAAAACCAGGAATATGAGGGTTTAGTGAGTCATGGTAAGGGCTTTGGATTCATGAAGTTATGGAATCAGATTTCAGATTACTATATCCTTGTTTTTCATTTGCAACTGATAGTGATCTTGTATGTAACTGTGATCCAATGCAGGTTGTCATAGTCTGTGGATTGTGGCAGAACAGCAATTTACTGCTCTAGTGCAATGAGACTAGCAAGTCAAAGATCAAGGCAGCAACAGATTCAGTGTCTGCAGGAAGTGTGTTCCTGGAGGATGCTGCCTCTGTGTTGCCTCATATAGTGGAAAGGACAAACAGGCCCCCTCCAGCCTTCTTTATAAAGGCACCAATTCCATTCACAGGGCCTCTGCCTTAATGACTCAACCACCCCAAGCCCACCTCTTAATGTCATCAACACATTGGGGATTAGATTTTACTAGGAAGCTTGCAGGGACACAAACATTCAGCTCACGGCACGGGTGAAATAATTCACAACTTTAGGTAAAGGGATATGCTTAACAAAAGAGGTTTCATGAACAGAACCTCTCTGTCATTTACACATATGGAGCCAATGTTTGTCATGAGGATCAGAAACCAATTAGAAAATTTGGGTGATTCTCAAGGGAAGTTTGCTAGTGAAAAAGACTGCTACTCTCTTAAAGTTACAGACTACATGATTTCATCTGAATAAAATTTTTTAAACAAGAAAATTACAGATATGGAGATTAGGGTTCGTTGTGGACTAGGAATTGAGAAGGATGAATGAAAGGGCTGGTGGTGACATGAAACTACAGAGGAGATAAGATTGCATAAAATACACATACGTGTGCATGTGCATGCTGAAATCTGAGTAAGCCCTGTGAATCAGGCCTATGTCGGCTCCTCGTTTTGATACTAGGAAACTAGTTAGGCAAGGTGTCGCCATTGGTGAAAGGGCAAAGTGAAAGGGGTACCGGACCTTCCTGCTTATTTTTGCAGCTTCTGGTGAACTTTCAATTATTTCAAAATAACATGCTTCAAAAATAAGACATTTCCTTGCCACTTTAGAGAAGGAGCTGCAGACAGGTCAGGTGGTAACAAAAGTGGGTGAAGTGGCCCACAACAGGGAGGGGAGAGCTGTGGTCGACGTGGAAAAGGCAGGTGCTCTTGAGCTCCTTCCAGCACGGGATCTGTGCCTCTGGGATTACTCAGTCTTCTGGGTGCTGTGGTCTTGAAAAGATGCTGGAAAACTAAATTTCTAATAACAATCTGACTTTTTTTTTTATTTGGCAGGCAGAGTTAGACAGTGAGAGAGAGAGAGAGAGACAGAAAGGTCTTCCTTCCGTTGGTTCACCCCCTAAATGGCCGCTACGGCCGGCGCTGCGCCAATCTGAAACCAGGAGCCAGGTGCTTCCTCCTGGTCTCCCATGCAGGTGCAGGGCCTAAGCACTTGGGCCATCCTCCACTGCCTTCCTGGGCCACAGCAGAGAGCTGGACTGGAAGAGGAGCAACAGGGGCTAGAACCTGGTGCCCATATGGGATGCCAGTGCTGGAGGTGGAGAATTAACCAAGTGAGCCATGGCACTGGCCCCAACAATTTGACTTTGAAATACTGATCACCATCCTAACTTTTCTGAACACTGAATACACGAAACTAAAGAGCCACTAGAGGGCTGGATTTGGTTTAATGGCCACACGTGTGTAAACTCAGCTTTCAGATCGTGCATCAGTTCGACCCCAGGATAAATTCCCCACTCAGTGCACAGCTCACGCTAGTCTGAGATTCCTTACAAAAAATGGAGAAATGGTTGCTGTTGGGAAACTGTTCTGCTCAGGCCAGTAATGAATATGTCATGAGCCACCAGTCCCAGACACCCAGGGATTCCAAATAATGTCAGCATTTCTTTGAAGGCAGCTCAGGCTGCCACAGCTGCTCTTGGAATCCCTGCTCTTGCAAGCCCTGACCAAGACCTTCACAGTCACTTTCTCAGCATGGTGCCTGGGACACAGTCAGTGTTCATTTTGTGTTTTTCAGCAGCGTTCATTTGCTCTTTTATCTTTATCTTAGTTATCTTTATCTTAGCTCTTTCGTTCTTAAAAGTTAACTTAGATTTTTTGCAAAAATTGGGGAAATAGAAATGAACTCTGATGTGGTGTTTTATGCTAGAATTTTCATGACATTGAGACAACTGGTCTGCTGAATACATTTTCTGTTAGTTGTCAGCAGCACCCTCAACACCACACACTATTTGGAGTTCTTAACATAAGCAGAATAGCAGATCAAGGTGTTGATTAGGTCCTCACTCCAGTTTGGTCTTTTAAAGTCTTTATCACGTCTGCCTGTTAAATGCTCACAGTTCAGAAATTGCTTCCTCCCCAACCTGGCCAGGTGACTTCAAAGAAGTGAAGGAAGACATAGCTAAATGAACACACTTTAGCATCACTTGCAAAACAGCTTGATGTGCCATGTCATACTCTGCCCATGCCCGTGCTGTCTGAAACAGTATCATGTGGACCAATTACAATTCTAACAGCTTGATGGAACATACCCAATTTTTCTGTTAAAGGAAGTGAGGAAGAAAATTCCAATCTTTCAGCTTTCAAAAATTTCTTCTATGGCCTAATTATACACTCTGAAAATCAAATTTCAAATTAAAAAATCATTTCCATTAATTGTGTCCTCCTCTTCTCCCCACTCCAAATCCTACCACCAAAAGTCTAGAGAAGGATTTCAATCTCTTTTAAAAAGGAGTGTTTGTAGGTATCACATAATTATTTATCAGTAATAACATTTTCTTGTGTGCCATTTTTCATGAAGTGCTATAATATGCAGACTTACAGAAGGTTGGTTGTCAGCCCTGAGAATTATACTAATGAGAGACGAGCAATAATTCAAAGTGTAGCCACTAATTTCTCTAAGGGGAAATATGCAGATCCTAAGCTCCACGTTTGTTTTCCACTAATTATCATGTATTTACTTTTCCATTAGTCCAATAATTTTTCTTTCAATTCAGAATTAAGCCATAAGACACTGAATTATATAAAGGCCTCTTTAGCATAGCAGACACACCCCATCATTCCCTAGCTCTCTGATTTACAGCTTTTAAAACGCTCAACCAAGAGGCTGGTATATGCCCTTTTCTATTTATATTCCATCATGGAGTCACCTCAATAACTTGTGCATTCTCAGAAGGTCCACCTAGCAATTAACTCCAGTCTTTTGTAACTCATCATCTCATTATGTAAACTGGATTTGAACACAAAGTTTATCAGCAACTTTGAATTCTAATTCCTTCTCATCTCCCCCACCCCGACTTAGCATGGAAATATTAGCTTCTATGTGACAAAAACGCTAGAAAACAGCAGTTTGAAAAATCCACATTGGACTGGCATTACATTTAGGAATTGTTCTTTGCACGGTGGGCCACCACAATAAATTGAGACTGTCGTATTTCAGCTGCAGCATGTGAGGCAATTCTTCATTTAAATGGAAAAGAATTCTCTTTGCCACACAGCACAGCATTTTAACTATGTTTAGGTGGAATCGACAAGTAAGGAAGCTATTATTATTTTTTTGAAAGGTTAGGAAAAAAAAATCTCAAGCTATGCAATCCAAAACTCTTTGTTAAGAGGTGAAGTCATTCATAGTACCTGGTCTTCAAATCCTTGAAGCAGGAGGGAGGGCAGCTTGCAGAGTTCTCTTATGCATATTAAGTGTATCAGCAGACAAGGTGAAATGGGATAGGAACCAATGAGAGGGTTTTTATAAAACTAAAGGAAAGGCAGCACCGGAAGTCAACACATCCAGTGTATGAACATGGAGATGCTGGTCCATGCAACTGACTTACCAACGTCAGGGTCCACGGCTTGAACCCTGGTCAACAGAGCCTTGGTGGCTGTGTTCTCATAGACACAGGCATTGTAGTGCTCTGAAGAAAATACAGGTGGGTTGTCATTCACGTCCTCCAGGATCAGGCGGACATCAGAGTGGCAGAATCTGCCACCCCCATCAGTGGCCCTGGCAATCAAATTGTACACAGGGACCCTCTCCCGGTCCAACGGAGCAAAGGTTTTTAATTCACCTGTGGAAACAAAAGGAGCATGGCTGGTCTGGCTTTTTGAAAACTGTATGTCTCTGAAGAACAGAGAATCACCTATTTAAAGAATTTCCAGTACAGGAAGGACCAGTGATATTTTACCCAAAGTGCCTCATACTTTGAAAACTAGAACAAATTCAATTTTTTTAGACATCAGGGGAAACTTACAGAATCCTGGATACAACAATAAACCAACAGTATGACTTTCAAATTAATTAATCCTTTTGTAAATCCTCTGCCATCTTCTGGCTACCTGGCTAAGTCCTATACCTCTTTCATCTTCCTGGGAGCTGCTCAAGAGATCAGCCTGTGGATTTCTGCTCTATTTCCTGACAAAGGATAGAGAATGTAGCTATGTTTCCAGTTCCCTGATGGTCAACGATATCAGTCACCCGTAGATCCACAGGGCAGTCTCTTCGTTTCTACATATGACACTTATACCCCTCGTTTTAGAGGAAAATAAGATAATCTGCCTAGAGGCTGACCTTAGGTGAATGTGGTCTTGAAGGAACCTGGCTGTGCTGTGCCAAGGCTGCTGCTTTACATGCTGGGTGGTGGAAGGGCTGGGGGTTGCCGTGGGCGGGCTCAAGCCAGGGGAAACTTGAGGAGCTTGGAGAAGCAGCTGTCTAGCAACCAGCAGGGAGACAGGCTCTGCCTGCTTTTAACAACTGGAACAGCTGTACTGGGGGCAGGATACCAGATCCCATATGGAGATTTTACTGTTGTTTAAATTTCAATAGATAATGAAAACAACTACAGTGACAAACCTGATTAAACTCTATGTGGTGGAAAAAGTATGGCTCATAAAATTCTTACTCTTAAAGGAAAAGTATTAGACATTACTTAGGCCAAGCAGCTAAATTTAAAAGATTTCTTTGTTACAGCCAACCAGTCCTCAGGCACTGATCGGATCCTTTCCCTCTCCTACTCAGAAAGCAGCCAGTGGTTTTGCAGTGGGACAGTCGAGATCTTCCTTGATCTGGCCTAAAGTTGTGTTCCTGCCACTTTGTTACCTGGCATTCCCTGGATAGGCTGCATTTTCTGCTAGTGCTGTCCCTGTAAGCTGCACTGTTGGATAGAACCCTGGCTCCATTCAAGTGCTAGCTCTTCCTTACAAGTTTCCTCTCATCAAAGTATTACATATAGTTCCCTTTATATTTCTCCAGGACACTCATTTAATTCTTTTTCTTATTATCTTCTCTGTCCCTGTTCCCTACTAGATTATATCATCTCTTGGGTATGGTTGGTTTTGTTTATTTTGGAGTATACTGCATATATCCTCATAAAGTGTTCTATGTTTACTAACTACTCAACACATGTTACCTATCACATAAACAATCGTCAGGACCATATAGGTGACAAGGATGGATATTGCCATGTCAGTGCCTCCAGGGAAGATATAAGTGACAGGGAAGTGAGGCAGGTAGAAACCAATTTATGGTTATTATTCACCAGGACTAATACATTGCTGGAAATACACAAGTTATTAAATATTTATTCTTTATTTAAAATTGTCATTGGTTAGAGGATCCAATTCATAATGGTAAAATAGTTTGCTTCCATAGAAAATGGGTTGCTCATTAGCTCTGGCCTTCACTGTAGGCATCTGCACTGAGTTTACATAACCTTTCACTTGGTAAATTTTACCTGAATGTGCAAGCAAATCTGAGGGCTCACAGCTTTGGAGAAACTAGGCAGGGATGTTTGATAAAAACCAGACAAGTTGCATTAATAAAAATCAGGAAGGGACTCAAAGGGGACTAAAAAACTGAAAAAGAAAAAGAAACCCTCGTTGCTGTGCATTGCTACCTGGCTTGAGTTACATCAGAAATGCAGGTTGCCATGCAATCAGACCTTTTATAAGCAGGTGCTTTAACTCACAGGTATGAGAAACAAACAGAGATGTCGGCGTCCTTGATGCTAACAGATGTAGGTGAAGTCTAGGTGAGTTTTACAAATCACCGAAAGTCTGTGTGGTCCAGAGCATATTTGGATTTCATGTGCTCCTAGTGCTTTCAAGATCCAGAGCAAGCATCCCATCAAGGTTCTGCTCTAAAACTACCTAGTCGTGAGGACATCATACGAGGGTTTAACTTCCCTTACGGTCTAAGAATGACATTTATCCAAAGAATAAATTTCACCTTACCACTTTCTGGATCTAGAAAGAATTCATTGTTTCCAGATCCATAGAGTGAGTATCGTATATCTCCATTGGATCCAATATCGGCATCCTTGGCACTGACCTTCAGAATGATTTTATTTGATGGAATGTCTTCAGGAAATAATGCCGTATATGCAACCTGGGAAAAGGTGATGAAAGGCAATTAAATCCCTCGTAATTTGTAAAACAACTGCTATATGTAGCATTACATATGATTTATTTTAAAATTCATGCATACAATTTAGCTTGTGCTACTTTTCCTTCACCACAGAACCATATGGTGATATAAGGTGAAATGTGATATTTTCATGGTCTTCCCCTGTACAAGACCATTCACTCAGCCAATATTTATTGAGCACCTATTATTTCTTAGGTATGACTAGAAATGCTGAAAGTACAACAAAGGAAAAACAGACAAAAGCCACTGCCCTTGTGGAACCGTGACACACATCACATAATGACCATGCTCTATTTTTCTGTTGAGTGCCAATGGATCCTTGGGACTCTTTTCAATTTTCTAGAAAGCCAATAGTAACATCTGGTGTTAGCATGATAAATTAAAGCTATTTTCTCTTTTTAAAATTTATTTATTTGAGAGGCAGAGTTACAGACAGAGAGAGGGAGAGACACAGAGAAAGGTCTTCCATCTGCTGGTTCACTCCCCAAATGGCCAGAGTTGATCTGAATCCAGGAGCCAGGAGCTTCCTCCAGGTCTCCCACCAGGGTACAGGGGCCCAAGCACCCAGGCCATCTTCCACTGCTTTCCCGCCTTAAGCTGAGAGCTGGATCAAAAAAGCAGCAGCCAGGACTCGAACCAGTGTACATACGAGATGCCAGCACCACAAGTGGAGGCTTAGCCTACTCTGCCATAGCTCTGGCCCTGCAACACCTCTCTAAAAATATATACTGTTTCTTGTTCCATGTGGTAAGTATAAAATAAATCATAGCATTTTAGTTTCAGTGAGAAAACAAAACCGTGTATTGGGACCTTGAATTAGCATCATGTTTTGGAGAGTACTGGAGACCTATGTTCAATACCCATGTTGCCACTAATCAGCTGTGTAAAATTATACCAATTATAGCCTGTAGAGTAGTCCATTTCTTTTTATCATACCAGTGATTTAGATAGAACTATTCATGATATCCAATCTGAATTACTTAATTTTACATTTATTTCATTTCATTCAAAAGGCAGAGAGAGAAAAAGACACAGATAGAAAGCAACCTCCCTTCTGAGGAAACATTCCCCAGATACCCACTGTAGGCAGGGATGGGCCTGGCCAAAGCCAGGAGAACAGAACTGAATCCAGGTCTCCCATGTGAGTGGCAGGGACCCAAGTACTTGAGCCACAACCTGATGCCTCCCAGGGTATGCATTAGCAGAAAGCTGGAATGCAGAGTAGAGCCAGTACTCAAACCTGGGCCCTGTGATATGGGATGTGGGCATACCAAGCAGGGGCTTAACCACTGCACCAAGTGTCCCCTCCCCAACAAAAAAATTGCTTATTTTAAGACTTACTGTTTCATTTTTGTTCTTGCTTGGAGGAGGCCCAAATTAGGTACCTGGTCTTGTCACCTACCCTCTTTTCATGTTTAGAACATTTTATCCTAGACTTTACTTCCTACTCACTAATGATCAATTGAGGCACTTACCAGAGATAAGAGCAGAAGGCAGCCTAGCCTTATGAAGAACAGTGAAGTGGGTGCTGACTTAACTTTAGGGAAGCATAGTGAAAAAACAGAGCTATGTCTCTGCATCTCACCTGATCACACACTGGGCTATTGTCATTCACATCACTGACAGTCACTTCCACCATGGCCTGCGTGACAAAGAGCCCGTCAGTGGCTGTGATGTTGAGGAAATAAATGTCTTGTTCTTCTCTATCTAGAGGTCTCTTCACATAGACCTTCCACTCACTCTGCACCAGGCCCAGGGCAAACCTTCCTCGGGGATTTCCTCCTGCAGGGACAAAAGTGGACATTAAAAAATATAGTGGATCTGAACTTAGAATAGTGCTTTCTAGAGTCTGGGGAAGATAGAGGAAAGAGGGTGGGAGTGAGGTTGGAAAACAGGTACTCAAACACAGGCAGAGAGAATCACAAGTTCTAGTGTTCCACAGGACAATGGAGTTACTGTATTTCACATTCATGTATTGCATACTGCATAAAGAACTGCATGACAGGCACTCAGAAGACACCAAATGCAAAGAAAAGATAAAGAAATGGAAATGCTACTTGCTTGGCTTGCTTGATTTATGCCGTATATATGTGTCCAAGTATTGCACCCCATACAAATGTACAAACAACACATGCTAACCAAAACTTTGTAAAAATAATTTCCAAAAGGAGAGAACACAGCCCTGACAGCCAGACTTTAACCCAATTAGATTTCTCGCCCACAGTGCTGTAAAATAATAAACTTACATTCTTTTAAGCAAAAATAAAAACACAATAGATTTTGAAGATGTGCAATGAATTGACTTGAGGTCCACCTATATGTGAGGCCCATGTGGGGTCATCCAGATGCTCCTCCAATTGCAATATTTATGATCTCAGAAAAAACTGATATTCCTTTTGAATCTTAGGTAACAAAGCATGGTACTTATATTCTTGACTTGCATGGAAAGTAAAACAGTAACTTTCCAAGAGAATAAAATCCACTTAGAGAAGCTGGAGATGATCTCTTGTTTAGTTCCCTTTAAGAACAATCAAATTCAAACTGTGAACTATCAATCGTTTTCTCAGGATGATACAATTGTCTTTCCACTTAGTCTCAAGAGAGGATGTAATACACTATAGCTCTTGTAACCAAGACAATTTCATTAGCTGTTGATTATGCAATCAAGGAAAGGCAGTCAGTTCTATTAAGCTATCTTTTAATGAAGCCTTCATCATACAGCTGTGTTGTTCTCATGAGGACTGGAGTTTGGGGAGAAAAGTTTATATGACAGGGGAAGACCCATTAGTATTAAATGGCCCTAATGAGGGGTCATTTAAGGAGCAGTTGAAAGATAAGTACTACAATTAGATGAGATTTAGCCGAGTGAAGCTGGTGAAAGTGGAAGAAAAGGAGAAGAGAGGAAGTGGGACGGCTTCTAACGATGCTGCAACACTGACAGTGGTCCGTATTACTTATTACTTTTACTTTTCCATATGACTTTTCCACATCACTCAATTATATGGAGATAAGAACAGATTGCCAAATAAGGAAGGAAGATGGAGGATGAAAACCACCTTGACCTTCTTATTCCTAAGGGGGAATTATGTCATTTCAGACACTAAGACAGACTGAGACGAATGTCAAGAAGTCCGGAGTCAAGCTGAAAGATCACATTTTGCATATATGGACATTCAACAAGTGTTTGTCCCCTTCTCTGGGCAGGGACTGTTATAGCTAGCAGGGCTATTCTAATGGGCAAAACTGGCAAAAATCTCTGCTCTCATGGTTGAGCTCACATTCCAAAGGGGAAGATTGATAATAGTGAACAGAATTGGGAGGCCATTAGGTTGGAGATGACTCTAGTGTCTTGAGCGCCTACGTAAGCAGACAGAAGAAAGCTCAGCTCAGTGCTAATGATAAAATGAAACTTAAATGTTAGTAAATCAGAAACCACTAATTGACCTCTACGCAGGAATTTTAGGTTACTGTTCCACTCTAGCCAATCAAATATTTCGTCTTGCCTCAGAACACCCACATGGTGTGTGGGTGGAGCACTGTACAGTTTGTGATCTATAACTGGCCAATTCACGGACTGCTGTTTGTTCAAATAAACTTTTGAAACTTCGAATGGGCCTGAGTATCTTTTAACACCAGAAATAAAGAAACAAGGAAAGCATACTGTGTGCAGGCTGCTACTTCACTAAACGTAGAGCCTTCTCACCTTCTTATAACGGATCTTGGAACACAGAGGGAAGACAGGGTAGAAATCATGGTCTTATTGGAGAGGTTGAGAGAGGAGGAGTGAGATGTTTTTTAATAAATTTTTTAAAACTTTTTAAAAAATATTTTTTATTTATTTGACAGGTAGAATTAGACAGTGAGAGAAAGAGACAGAGAGAAAGGTCTTCCTTCCGTTGGTTCATTCCCCAATTGGCCGCAATGGCCGGAGCTACGCTGATCCAAAGCAGGAGCCAGAAACTTCTTCCTGGTCTCCCATGCGGGTGCAGGGCCCAAGCACTTGGGCCATCCTCCACTGCCCTCCCAGGCCACAGCAGAGAGCTGGACTGGAAGAGGAGAAGCCGGGACTAGAACCAGCACCCATATGGGATGCCAGTGCCGCAGGTGGAGGATTAACCTAATGCACCATGGCACCGGCCCTGAGGAAAGAGATTCTGAGTGCCCGACTGCACTCTTGATTCTGAGGCAAGGGAACACAGTCCACTGGCCACAGGACTGTGGGGTATCCTTGGGATAAACAGGACCAAACTTGGGAGAGAGGGCAGAAAAGGTGAGGGCTGCCCATTCCTCCTGGCATAGTGGTTCTCAGCTGGGGAGGATCATGCCCTTCCCTCTCTGTGGCAGCTGTCAACGTCTGGAGGCACTGATGAATGTTACATTGATGGGAGGGTTGTGTATTACTAGACTCGAGTGGGTAGAGGCCACAGTTGCAGCTGAACACCCTATAAAGGATAGCCTCCACCACACAGAATTATTCAGGCCCAACTGTCAATCATGTGTGGCTGAGAAACCTTGCTCTAGGGAGGCCCAGTCCACCCTGGGATATCACTTTCCTTCACCACTGGCTAAGATTCAATTATGCTGCAGCTGAATATTATTTCAGCACACACAGATTTAACCTCTCTTATTAAATGCTTTCAGTGCAGGCAAGCCCACACCGTTCTTTTGTTGCGTAAAATGATTAATGGTCCTTTGTAAATCCAAGGCTGCACAGGCAAATTGTGTTACATCAAGAGCAAAAGTTAAATCTAATTAAAATCAGTTGGTGGTTGGCACCACTAATAGTAACAGTAGCTTTAAGCTACTCGGTGCTCATTACTTTGGTAAAGTCAATGGGATGGTCCCTTTAAATCATCAATTGAGAACTCAGACTATCTATAAATAATTAAGGCCATTTAACAACTCTTCCACATAGGAAAGTACCCCTTAGAATATCCAAGAAGCTTTTTATTTTCTGAAACTAAACACAACTAAATCAAAAGGAGGCTTCACTCACCTTTCTTTCCTCATCACTATCTTTTTAAGTTTTAATTGCAGAAATACCAGGGGCCTTCAAAAAGTTCATGGGACATATGCTTTATGAAAAAGGTATGCATAGATTTCAAGATCTTTTTGCACCAGAACAAACTTCTTTTAGTTCCATTTTGCCAAGAACTTTTAGAAGTACCCTCATAAACCTCTTAATAAAAACAATTATTGGTAACAGAAAGCAGTAAAATGCATATAGTATTTTAATCAAAAATGGTAGGCAACATCTCCGTGAAGAAAATGGAGAATAGTGCTAAAAAATGAAGCAATCCCAAGCACTGACACATTTGCTCGGCTGTGGATCCTTTCTGTAGTGATTAATTAACTTTTCCACTAACATACTTAAGCAGATTCTGGGTCCTAAGGGCATTCTAATTAATTCATTTTTCACTCTGAATAATGTGGTGTTTCTAAAGGAAAAGCCACCTGACTACAAGTATTGATGGATTCTTTAAAATCTTTTGGCACTTTGCTTACGTTCTGTCTCTGAATACAATAACAAAATATTATTTTTAATAGCCCCTCCCCCAATAGTTTTTAGGAAGACTGCCTCCAGTCCACCATCCCTGTCCCTTGCAGCTTACAGCCAGAAACAACCGCTGATCAGTGAAAACGGTATTCTTCTCTGATGTGAAACCCGTGGCCCTCTGAGCAATGGTGACTTTTTTTTTTTTTTTTTATGTATTCTTGGAGACCTCATTTATCTACCCGGGATTTTCTATTGAACTGCTACTTACTGTTTGGAAAGACATAAATGAGATCCAAAAAAACTGGGTTGTCAGAAGAAATATTTCTTAGTTTGAGCTATAATTTAAAATTATTAAATAAAATGTCAAACTGTGATCTCAAATTTGTGCATAAATGTGCATGTGTGTTTTTATGATCAGGAGAGGCTTATATGCAAAGCTAACTGGTATCCAGAAATTATTCTTCTTAACACTCCCCCCAAAAAGGAAAAGGGAATATATTTAAAAACATATCTACCTACCAAAAACAGCTGTTATTTTCATTTCATCAACAGTGATATTTGGCTGGACTCCATTTTAAAATAAGAGGGACACAGAATGGGGTACCATTGTGGGTAATATGTTGCAGGAAAATCAATGAACTTCAGACCAAGGCTTAGCTACCAAGACCCAACCATGGTAAACTCACTTTACTCTGTTACTCCACTCCAGAGAAGCTTTGTTACACTCAATTCCTCATTGCATCTTCCTTCTTCTCTCCTACTTTTACCCACTGTTATCATCCATCTTTCTTGAGAAAGCAGAGCACACAGTGAACACTGTGGCTGTTGAGACTTACCTGTAATATGGTAGCTCACTTGCCGATTAATGTCAGATGTGTCTCTGTCCCAGGTGCTGAGGACGGCTACCACCTCGCCTGGTGGGTCACTCTCCTTCACATTGCCGCGGTACACTTCATGTGCAAAGACCGGTGCATTGTCATTTATATCTGTCACCTTTACAGAGACCAAAGCCGTGGAAGAAAGAGAGAATGCCTCTCCAAGGTCAGAGGCCACCACGGAGAAGGTGAACATGGGGTCTGTTTCATGGTCCAGGTCCTTCAATGTACTGATCCAGCCTGTGTTGCTGTCAATATTGAATGCTTCCATTACCTTTTCAGGCTGGGAATCTGAGTGGAGGGAGTAGGTGACCTGCCCGTTGGCTCCCCAATCCATATCCATAGCTCTCACTTGTGTGAGTTTGGTGCCAACGGGCATTCCTTCCATTATGATGGTCTCATAGCTTGACGTTTCAAAAACTGGCTTGTTATCATTCAAATCCAATACCTTGATATCTACATCCACAGTAAACACAATGTCTACCTTATCCAGGGGTATTGTGGCTGCTACTTTAAAGTGGAAAGCTGGACTGGTTTCATGGTCAAGGCGCTTGTCAAGCTTGATAATGCCTGTTTCCTGTTCTATGATGAAAACACCCCCTTTGTTATTTTCTGGCCGTTCCCCATTAACTGTGCTGAATCGTACATTCTGAGTGGGCAAAATCCTCAGGGTGTCCACTGTGCTTCCAATGGCTGTGTCTTCGGCAACAGTGAAGGAATACTGAGACTGGGTGAATGAAGGCAAGAATATTTCAGGGGGTAACACGTGGATATAGACAGGAATGAGGGAGTGTTTTACTGGAATTCCCCCATCTACCGCTTTGACAAAAAATGACAGCACTGTATTTTTCAGCTGGTTGAAATTGCCCTTTGTAACCATCCAGCCATTGTCAGGATCAATTTCCAGGAGGTCAGCCACGGAGACTGATGCCTCACTATAGAGGGAATAAGTAATCCTTGAATTTACTCCATCATCGGGATCCATGGCTTGAACTTGAGTGACCAAGTGGCCCCTTCCAACATCGGCCCTGACACTGGCTCTATATTCCACTGTCATGAATTGAGGAGCATTGTCATTTTCATCCACAACAATCACCCTCACGGTGCAGAAAGTTGTTCTCCCTCCACCATCAAGGGCCCTCAAAAAAATACTAACATCTCCTTCCAGAGGATTTTCCCGGTCTAGCCTTTCTGTTGTCATGACCTGCCCATTGCTGTCTATGAGGAATCGATCCTTGGCAAAGTCATTGATGATGGTGTAGCTGATCTGCCCATATGTCCCTGGATCCCCGTCTGTGGCTCGAACATGAATTACCTTTGTTCCAGCAGCTGCATTCTCTCTCACCTCTGCTACATATGTGCTTTGTGAAAAGGCAGGACTGTACAAGTTAGCCCCAAGTACCCTGATATGCACCTGTGCAGTACTGGTGAACAGCCCATCAGAGACAGAGACATTGAGACTGTAAAGAGGCTCCATCCGCTGCTTCCGGTGGTTGGATAGTGTGATCACTCCACTCTTGCTGTCCATCAAAAAGCTTGTCCGGTCATTCCCCGATAAAATGCTATAATCCAACCGGTCAATGTCAGAGCTATCTGCATCAGAGGCTTGAACACAGGTTACAAAATGGCCCCGGGGGGCTAACTCACTCACATATGACTCATAAATGAGTTGATTAAAAACTGGAGGGTTGTCATTTATGTCAGAAATGTGTATATGAACCAGAACCTCACTGCTCAGCGATGGGAAGCCATTATCTGTTGCTCTTACTTTCAATGTGCAGTGTTGTACTAGCTCATGGTCGAGCATGCGTGCTGTCAGAATTAAGCCACTTGCACTATCTATGTGAAAATAATCTGTGCTGTTGTAGGTATCCTGAACAATCTGATAATGTACCATTTTATTATTTTCTGAGTCTGCATCAGTGGAGACAACTTGTAAAACAGGTGTCCCAATGAGAGATGCTTCAGATAATGTTGTATTGTATGTGGGCTGATCAAAAATAGGGGGGTTGTCATTTACATCATTAATTAGCAAGTCAACAGTGACTTCAGCCCTGGCACCAGTCAAAGCATCACTGGCTCTTATAGTCAACTTGTAAGCAGATGTAACCTCATAATCCAAAGGACTAACAACTTTCAGGACTCCAGTGTCAAAGTCAATGTTAAACTGTTTTAGAGGATCTCCATCAATAATGATATATATGATGCCTTGGCCTTCTGGACTGGTGGCATTAATGCTTAGAATGGGGGTGTTCATTCTGATATCTTCATTTATGGATGCTGTATAAAAGGGTTTATCAAACACAGGCATGGCTTTGTTGACAATAGTGATGGGAAGTTCCACAGATGTAGACAAAGAGGGCTTTCCACCATCTTTGGCTAGGATGGTGACTCCATATTCAATGTTAGACAAGTCAGTGTTGAATGCTTCTTTTAAAATAACATTCCCTGAATTGGGGTTAATTTCAAAGTGGCCATAGTCATCCTGCAGGACATAGGTCACTTCTCCATTTGCACCTTTATCTTTGTCAATGGCTGTCACTCGGTATATCAGAGTCCCTGGCTCAGCATCAACTTGCACAGCAGCATAGTAAGGGAGGCCCACAAAGACTGGAGAATTGTCATTTATGTCTTCAATGTTAACCCTGACCACCACCCTAGCCACACGAAGATGGTCCAGCTCACGGCTGGCTTCCACCACCAACTCATATAATTCTTGTTCTTCACGGTCAAAGGGGACTCCAGTAGTCTGAATGACTCCTGAGGTAGATTTTATCTTGAACTTATTTCCTGGGTTTAAGATGCTATATTTTAAGGGTTCATTAAGGCGGTTTCCAACTGCATTGACAATAGCAACTTTGGTTATGTTAGTGTTGTTCTCTGAGATGGAGGTGGAATAAAAGCTTTGTGTAAACTGGAGGCCACTATCCATGGCTTCTTTAACCATTATGTTGACCATGGATGTACTGTAGAACTTTCCATCAGACACTTTAACTATCAACATATAGTGATCTTTGGAGAGATTATTGTTTTTTATGGTGAGTACCCCACTATTTGAGTCAATTAAAAAATGATCCAAGCTGCCTTCCATTAGGCTGTATGTCAGTTCAGGGGGCACCTCAGAGTCGGGGTCTGTGGCACTAACCTTCAGAACCTCCACTCCAACATAGGTAGGGAGAAGTAAGACTGTCTCAAACACAGCCTGAGTGAAAACAGGTGGGTTATCATTCACATCTGTCACCTCGATGTTGACTTCAACAGGACTCTCTGCAGTCAGCTGGGGGTTACCACTGTCTCTCACATGAACATGAAAATGAAAATGGGAGATGGTTTCATGGTCCAGGTTGGCAATTGTTCTGATGGCACCTGTACTAGAGTCCACCGTGAAGAACCTCTTGGCTGTGGACTCCACAATCTGATACACAAGCAAAGCATTCCGGTTGCTGTCAGCATCAGTGGCACGGATCACCAGCGGGCTGTTGTCCAAGTTCCTGACAATGCTATTGACTGGGGCAGCCTCACTCAGGCTGCCTGAGTATTGAGAAAATAGAAACACCGGGGCGTTATCATTTTCATCAACGATCTGAATATTGACGGTGGCATTGGAAGCCATTCCTGCCATGTTAGTGGCCTGAATGGTGAGTTGATAAGAGGAAGTGCGCTCATAATCTGGAGCTCTCCGAGTGGTGATGACTCCGGAATATGGATTTATGGTAAAGATCCCATCAATGTTTCCATCTTTGACTTCATAAACAAGGGTAGATTGACTGATGGCAGAGATTAGGATGACTGATGTTCCAATATCAACATTTTCATTTACTTCCGCTTGGTAGTCTTTGTGAGTAAATTTGGGGTGAGAGTTATCAGACATGGTGACAGAAATACGCACAATCGCGGTGGCAGACATTGGCGGGGAGCCTTGGTCTGTGACTTTGACTGACAGAACAAACTGACCCATTGTTGTCATATCTGGTTCTTTGGAAACACTGATGATGCCCAGGACTGGTTCAATCTTAAACGTGTTCCCAGTGTTCCCTAAAATATAGAAATCATCAGGGAAATGAGTTACAAATGGATCATTAAAATATGTTTAGAATATTAATCTGTCATCTAAAGGTACTTTACTGCAATGTGGCAAATAGAAAGCAATTGTTTGTATTCATTCCACGTAATTCTAGAAAAAAAAAAGACTTCTCTTTCAAGGATATTAAAAAGCACTGAAATGAGTTTTCCAGTAAAACAGTCAATTTCAGTTCAGTGACTTCTTAATCTAGGCCAACAATAATAGTGTATACATTAAAAATGGGAAAGAATAGAGGATTTAGGAAAGACTTTTCTGCTAAGAATGTGTAGGTCTTCCTCATACCTAAAACCTTGGGAGAAGAGGGGGGAGAATGGGCTGGCAGACACCAATGTCACTTGTGGAAAGGTATTCGTAACTAAATCAGTCCCATGATTTGTGTTTTATGTTAAAATAAAAAGCACTGTAGGGATAGTTTCAGAGTACTATAATGTAAACATTTTTTCAGACTTTAAGACTTGATTATTTTTGTACAAAGAAAATTATCAAGGGAATGGAACTTATGTAAAGCAGTAGTTATCAAAATCCCTGATTCTATAGTGCAAAAAAAAAAGGGCTATAAAATAGTTTATAATTTGATTAATTTGCTGTGTTTTAAAGTCACATTTTTTGCAATGGTATCACGGGCCTTTTCCTCAACTCCACCACAAAGCTTCCTCAAAAGCAGAAAATACAGTTTCCTCTCAGCACCACTCCCTGCACATTGCTTTCCAGAAACTGGACTTTCCAACTGCGGCAGACTATCTGACTTACCTAGCAAAATCATGGGCTCTGAACCCACAGCAACTGCAAGGGGGCCATCAGTCTTCAGCAGTTACCAGTTGTAGTTTCTTATTATCCTAAAGAAAGATTTGCCTCTTGGAAATGGTACTATCTCACCTTATTAAAATTGACTTCCTCCAAAATACTACTTTGGTGAGGGAGTTTTGATCAGACATGGAGAATTCTCCCTAAGTCACTGTTTGCTTTGCATGTGGTGACCAGTTTTTCTGACTGCCCTATATCCTTCACTCCTCCTCTCTTTCATGTCCCAGGACAAATATAGACAAAAAAGTAACCACAAAATGTATAAGGCAGTTATTCCAACCTGTTATAATTCTATCCATCAAGCATTTGAGAAGCTTCTGGGGAAGGAGGAAATTGTTGCTAATCTGACCATCATTGCAACAAAGAACTTGAGGCATAACTCTAATGAAACTGAGTCCTGGAGCCCACTTGCACATATCTGACATGGGAAGAGCTATGGGCCATGACACTATAAAGACCTGGAAACTCTGAAACATGCAGAGGTTTGAGGTCGAGGATTGGTAGGGATGAGTGAAATGTGAGAGAGAATGAGGAAGACAAAACTGGAAGAATGCAAAGAAGTTTGGTGGTGACATGAAACTTAGAAGTACTGGACACCATGAGCTGCATCCTTCCCCAAGACACTATTTCCTTCCTTTATCTTGTTTTCTCACACTTCTCTAAGAACATACATGCTTTTTGTTTAAAATTCTTTGAAATCAAAAGTTAAAGACTTTGGTTACTCAACGTTATCTGGATTTTTCTTTTTGAGTAATGTAGCATGGCAGATATATAGACCATGTAAATGTCAAAATCATTGAGACAGGCACCAGGATTCAGAGGGCAGTTATATTATGTGTTTATTGAAAATACAGCAAATGTAGCTGTGTACAAATTTTTATAGAAAGTACAGAATAAACCTTTCCATGTCTAAGCACTAAAAGGTCATGTTTCAATAAGATCCTGTTTACTTTTAAGGAGAAAGTATATCTAATAGAGAGGTCATTTTGATTCCTAAAATATGAATATTAAACAATGCTATCTTTGATCTTAACATGATATTTTTACTTTATTATCCAAACATGACCATTTTGCAATGACAACAAAAAAGTTCAATGATCTTATGAATAAGCTTTCAAATATTCATTAAATAGCAGCAAGGAATTGCATGTTGGTGCAACTTTTGATTTCCAGATCTCTCAGGGACTCAGTGATTGTTTCATGTAAGCAATGGCCACCTTCCAGTGACAGGACCAACATGCAACCCTGACTGATGAATGCCAACAGGGCCAAGTCTCTAGGTATTCACTGATGATCATAGCCCATTGTGGAGTTTCTAGGGAAATCCTCCCTCATCATGCCAGATCCAGCATAGTTTTTCACACTTTGCAATATACATTATGGTGGAGATGAATGGGAGCCAGCTTTTGACCTAAAGTGCAACTTCACAGCCCTGCCGTCCAATGCCTGCTGACCTGCTAGTTCCCTACTTCCATGCTGTGCTCATTCATCAGTTTGTCCTCTTTGCTTCTTCATCATGATCAGTTCTCTTGGAATCCACCTCCTGCTTCTGCTCTCCTGCTATACTTGAATCCTTGGAAACTAACCCCTGCAGTGCTCTTCGAATCTATGGCTTCTTGCAGTCTTTTGGCAACTGGGCAAAAGCTTCATTATTTATTGGGTACACAGGACAGTGACTGCACAAATGATTCTGTGTTGAATGACTGAGCAGTGAGGTGGATCTAAAAAAGATTTTGCACTCTATCTGTATGCATTTTGGGATTCAAAATCCCCTTATCTTAATTCAACTCTTAGTCCTTGTTGCTCCTCCTCTCAGAACGAATCAACCTCAACAAGTCCTGATCTCTCTTGTCCTGTCATGCCCAAAGACCACTGTTGGCACCAAACACAAACCCCAACTAAATGTTAGGCCTGGCACTCTCACTCAAATTCTGCCTAAAACCTAGGCCAACATAAAAAGCTTCAGTAGTTGCTTTAGCGGTCAATCAGGAGATAAGAAATTTATAACCCACTAGTAAACAGACTATAATCTTCCAGATCTGAGGCCTGTGAGAGAAGTTAAATAAAATGTAAAACTACACAGATTACTTGTCATTTGCTTCAAAATGCTGAAGGATCAGGGATCTTTCTTCCTTCATCACCTGGAAAGAAACCTGCTTGGGCAGGGTGGCCCAGACCCATTGTTGGCATATTTGTGTGTGACTGGGCCCGCCTGCTTTTGGAAATTGGCAGTGCAGGCTGTGATTCTCATTGGCTTCTTAGCACATGCTAAGTTATCGATCATTCCTGTGGTTTTCTGAAAATTCATATCTTCTCTGTAAGAGATGTTTTAAGGAAATAACTTCTCTCTTTTGTTTTCTAAGTTGTTAATGAAAAGACTGAGCACCATGCTATAATACATGGAGTTTAAAAGATAAGCCAAACAGTCTTTTCAGCTGCAGGGTAAGTTAAATTACTCCTCAAGAATCTCCAAATTGATTTACAAATTATCTGACCATCAAAGAAAAGTGAAACTAGTAGCCTTAATGTCACATAAAAAAAGCAGCTAGATACACAAATGTCCAGGAAATGATAAGAAGAGTAGAAATAAAATCTTCTATCTAGATGATTACTATGACATAAAACAATGTGTATGCATAAAACAATATAAGGAAAAGAAAAAACACAAGATTGGAATGAACCATAGAGAGAATTTGATTCGTTGGTTTATCTGATATTTTCTGTGATGTTATTTAAACATTCAGTTTTTAGGAAAAGCTTCCCTATATTATTTGTGGAACCAAAAGAACAAGGATTACATAATTAAATAATAAAAATGTCCTGTGTTAAATAAGAGATGCAAAATAGCATCTCTGAGGATTGGCCATGGTCAAAGAACATCTCATGGAAACCTAGAGGCAAAACAGATGACTTCTTCGGGGCAGCTGGCTGTTACAGGCCAATACCTTTTTCTTTTCCGATAGAGAGCTTAGCGAAGCCCCATGTAAAATGTGGTGATTTATACTGGAAATAGTTGTGGTTAATCATTAAACACAGGGCTGTTTTTAGGAGGTTTGTTGGCTTTTTTCTAAAATTTCTAGTCTAAAACTGTCATCCTAGCATTCCTATTCTAATTCAACTACTCACAAAAATGCTCTACATTTAAATGAAGGGAGAGGAGCCTTTCCATCGCTGGCTTGAAAGGAGATTGCACTTGGCATTAAGCATGACAGACATAATGTTGCAGAACATTTTGGAAATATGTGGCTTGAATATCCAAAAAGGACAGAACACGGGGAGGAAAATAGAGCAGATCCAGGATATTTGTTATTTTTATGGTCACAGTATTTTCTCTTGCTGAGACATTCATCTCTATGTCATGAATGTTTTCTAGTTATTGATCTTCAAACCACCAGTAAACTAAGGTTTTGTCTTATGGATGTTAAAATTGATTTTTTTTTAAATCTCAAATTTAACAAAAAGAGAGCCTGTATTTCTTGTTCTGTCATATTAAGCAGACAGTTCAGACTCCATATCTACCAACTACTTTACTACTCACACTGCCTCCATTGAAGTGAATTTGTACTAACTATGAGGAAATAGGAATTTCTTAAGCTCTCAGTTCACCCATTGACAAGTAAACAAAGACATGTAAGATTCAATTTACAGAACAGCCCAGAAGCCCTCAGGTGATGGGAGACTGGTCATTTTAATCTGAGGCCATGGCTTCTTGACCCATGGGTAAAAGCCACTGAATTTAATACACATTTCTTCTCTCTTCTCCATTCCAGAAAAATCTGAGATTGAACACAATGAAGGAAACTCTTTCTTTGCTGTCAATGACAGAAACACATTAGTGAAATGCCAAGCACTCATATACTATCTATCATCACGCAAATAGGAAAGTTGCTTGGCCAAAATATTCATTTGGAGAGGTTCCAGAGATAACAATATGAATTTTATAAGGTGATAAAAATACTATGGGTCAAATGCCATGCATTACACTGAAATCTGTGCAGTGCGACAGCTCTCACCTGCTTCTATGGTATATATGAGTTCTGCATTTTCCCCTTTGTCTTTGTCCAGAGCGGTCACTTGCAGAACAGCTGATCCCAAGGCAGCGGATTCAAACACAGATGCTTCATACAGTGGGTTGGTAAAATAAGGACTGTGATCATTAGCATCTTCCACGTTCACAATGACTCGGGCCAAGTTTCTTCGATAAGGAAACTCCTGATCTCTGACCTTTAGGCAAAATAGAAGAAGTAGTAGGACTAAAATCTTGAATTGCAAAGAATTCACATGGCTGTGTTGGTAGTTAAAATAATATGTGATTATGCACATAAAGTGCATGACCCAGTCACGGGCACCTAGTAGGTACTCAATAAGTGGTTCTTTCAAGAGAAGAAACTGCTGGTGAATAAACCAATTGTTACTGCTTAGCTTGATGTCTAGCATAAGGTTTGCACTCAGTGACTGGAACTGGCTTTGCTTTCAAAAACACAGCACTTTGCCTTGGCTTCCTTCACATAGCCACATTCACCTGATTAGTATGTGCACAGCTACTAACATAATGGTAGGTGGAGGCACTTCTAAAGTGGAAAGCAAAGAATGGAATTAATGAACACAATGTTAGCACTGCCACTTATTCATTCAGCAAACATTTACTGTCACTTATTATTTGTCAAGTCTCTGGCTTGAGTCCCTGGTGTTCAATAGTGAATTAGATATAATCCCTCCCCTCAAGAAGCTTAGTGTGGAATGGAGAATACAAACAAGTAAACAGATGGGTGTTAACACTCAGGTATAAGTGCCAGCATGGCATACTCCAAAACTGCTCTCACAGTGGGTGCTAAAAACTCACCCTAGCATTCAGCTTTCCTGGAAAACAACAACAAGCAGAAGTGGTTAAATGGTGATGGTGGTGTCTAGCACTTTTACCTAGGAGCCAAAATATATAAGTCTACCATGGGGAAGATGTATCAAATCATAATCCTAATTTCTGAAATGGAGACTCTCTATTTGACCTTACCAAAGAATCTTGCCTGAAAGCTTGAAAATGTCCTCATTTGCATATAGCTGAAGCTGATACACAATCAACTCTTTGACTCCAACCAAGTGCTCTGGCAAGCACTAATCAACTGGTTCCTCTTGTTCAGTTTTAAACTGAACAAGGCAGTTGAGAATAAATCAGAAAGGACACCAAGAAGAGTCACCAAAGAGAAAGGTGTCTTCAGAAATAGTACCTAGAAGGAGTGAGCAAAATGACTCAAATGGATTAGCTTGGAGAAAGGCAACACAAAGGAGTTGTTTACTATAAATATTCAATTATATAAATGATCAATGGTGGGGGGTGACCAAGCTGAATTCTGAGTGTTTAGGGAAAGAATGAAAAGAAATGACCAGAAAAACTGTGACAATGAAGCTAGCACCAGCCAAGGGTTTTTCAATTGAAGAGAACATATGCAAAATAAACTTCTTTCAATGTAGAATGGCCTGCCATACCCAAAGTCTAAGCTGAACTCTTCATTTAGGGAATGCTGAAAGCCAGTCAGTCCTCGCTGAATGTGTCTTGTGCCACAGAACAGTGCTTGGTACATAGTAGGAACTTCAGAAAGAGCTATGGAATGAAGGGATGTAATGGATCAGACTGCAGGATGTAAGGATCACCTCTATGAGTCACTTCTGTTCCCTGGAATCCTGGTTGGAAAGCATTGCTGGGGGCACCCACACTAGGAAGATTTCCAGTCCCGTGAAGAAGAGTAGTGCTGGTGGAAAAACTGCCTTCAGCTGCTTAGGAATTGGTAGAATCTTAAGTATAAAGTCAATCAATTTTTAGGATTAAGCCTCTGTCACCCTGTTCAGTCTTAAGGAATGCAGTAGGGGGTCTTATAGGCAGTAGCTGTGCAATGATCTTGGGGCTGTTAAAGAAACATGTTGTGGGCTCTAAAATCAGTTTCTACACTCAATTATCTGAATTTGGCAAACAGCACTTTAAAAGTAGAGCAATTTCTCCCACATCATTTGGAGGCCATGTGAACACAAATTCAGACAGCACTCTGCAGGCTTCAGTGTATTCTGAAATCTCTTTCGTGCGCCAGTATTCACCACTGGCTCCAATGCTGCTATAATAAGTAACAAACTGATCTCTAAATCCCTCCAGAGACTGAGCACTGCATAGGTTGAGTAAATGATTAACCTTGTGATCAACCTCTCAAAGAACTTCTTTTAACAAAATTTTATGGATGTAAACCAATATCAGAGCTTGGGTACCCAGCCTATTTCTTCCCTCTCAAACCAGCCTGTGAACAGCATTTACCAAGAAGCCACTGTCTGCAGAAATTAAACAATTTTTAACTTTGGCAAAAATATAGTCACTGTGTAACAATAGTAATTTTTCATTGACCTGAAAAGGCAACAATGAATGCAACCGAGCTGTAAAAAGACCAACTTTACCAGCACTTAGCAAATGTTATGAGCCCTTTATTTCTGAGGACTAAGGTGTGTGACTTGAATGGATAATGGCAGTGTCAGTAAAGCAAATTAGCAGTTTTTTCCTACCATGATGTTGAGAATGTGCTTGTCCTGGGCCTCATGGTCCAGTCTCTCTGCAGTGTACAGCACGCCAGTGTTAGGGTCAATCCGGAATTTCCTCATGCTCATGGAGTCAATGCTACTGTGGACAGTGTAGCTCAGCTTGTGCTTCTCGTCTCTGTCTGTGGCTTCGATTTGTAATATCTCTGTGTCTGGAAGCACATCCTCAGAAATTGTCACATCGTAATGTGGCTGTGAGAATTCTGGGCCATTATCATTATTATCCAGCACTTTGATAAATACCTATAGTTAAAAGAAGACAAGAGTGATAACCAATGCTGATTCGCTCATTGCTAATAAAAGCATCCCTTTCCTTCTTGTTCTCCCTCTATATCCTTTGATCCTCTTCTAGAAGCTTTCTCAACACACAGGAAGCCCTCTTTTAAAAACAGTCTGTGATTAGAGGTTGACAGTAAAGCAGTAGTTCACATTAGCAGGAACATAAACTATAAGGGATCAATACTCGCACTATTAATTGAACAGCTGAAGGTCATAATTCCACACAATCATTTGAGGCACAATAGAAATGATCATGAGGTACCCTGGTTTGTTAAGCTCCTATTAAGTTTCTGTTATGTTCTTCTCACAATGACCTTATGTGGAGCCAGTTTTCGAATGTGAAGAACAACAAAGAGGTGTCAAAAAAAGGGGGAGATGACCAGAGCTGGACTCAGAGCCATCAGGGTTCCTCAACAGCAGTGTCCACATACCGAGGTTGTCCTTCAGATGGGAGGGGTCTAGCAAAGAACATGGTATGAACCGCAGTTAAAATACAAAGTTTCCAAATTATTTTCTTTCACAAAGCATAAAAATTTTGAAATATAAAAGTAACAGTTTGGGGGCTGGCACTGTGGCATAGCTGGTAAAGCCACTACCTACAGTGCCAGCATCCCAGATGGGTGCCAGTTCGAGTCCCAGCTGCTCCACTTCCGATCCAGCTCTCTGCTATGCCCTCGGAAGCCAGTAGAAGATGGCCCAAGTCCTTGGGCCCCTGTACCCGCATGGGAAACCCGGAAGAAACTCCTGGCTCCTGGCTTTAGATTGGCTCAGCTCTAGCCATTGTTTCCATTTGGGGAGTGAACCAGTGGATGGAAGACCTCTCTCTGCCTCTATAACTCTGGCAAATAAATCAATCAATCTATCTATCTATCTATCTATCTTAAAAAAAATAACAGTTTGGGGCTGGCACCGTGGCATAGTTGGTAAAGCTGCCGCCTGCAGTGCCGGCATTCCATATGGGCGCCGATTTGTGTCCAGATTGTTTCTCTTCTGATCCAGCTCTCTGCAAATGGCCTGGGAAAGCAGTAGGATATGGCCCAAGTGCTTGGGCCCCTGCACCCACATAGGAGACCTGGAAGAAGCTCCTGGCTCCTGGTCAGTGCAGCTCTGGCTGTTGGGGCCATCTGGAGAGTGTACTATCATTTGGAAGACCTTTCTCTGTCTCTCCCTCTTAACGCTGTCTTTCAAATAAATAAGTCTTTAAAAAAAATAACAGCTTAATGAATGTCCACATATTCGTTATTCAGCTTTATAATAATTAATAAATAGCATATTTGGTCTTATCTTTGTTCCCCCATTCGTCTCCACTTGCTTCCCCATAATATTTTGTAGCAAATCTCATCCAACATACGATTGCAGCATTTATCTCTAAAAGATAGGGAGACTCAGTATAAACACAACACATATGCGTGCACACACACAACACCATTGTTGCATGTAAACAGAGAAAACAGTAACTCCTTTATATCAAATATTCAACTAATGTTCCTATTTGTTTTTAATGTGCTGTATTTTATGTGTGTACATATCATAATTATTATTATTTTTTTTTTTGACAGGCAGAGTGGACAGTGAGAGAGAGAGACAGAGAGAAAGGTCTTCCTTTTTGCCGTTGGTTCACCCTCCAATGGCCGCCGCTGCAGCCGGCGCACCGCGCTGATCCGATGGCAGGAGCCAGGATCCAGGTGCTTTTTCCTGGTCTCCCATGGGGTGCAGGGCCCAAGCACCTGGGCCATCCTCCACTGCACTCCCTGGCCATAGCAGAGAGCTGGCCTGGAAGAGGGGCAACCGGGACAGAATCCGGCGCCCCTACCGGGACTAGAACCCGGTGTGCCGGCGCCGCAAGGTGGAGGATTAGCCTATTGAGCCACGGCGCCGGCTCATATCATAATTATTTTAACCAGTTTGTGCAAACAAGGCCCAAATACCACATTTGGTTGGTATGTCCTTTAACAATTTATAGGTTTTCCATTTCTGTACAATTTTTTATGTTGTTAAAATAGATGTTCACAAATCTGAGCTATTTTCCCTTCAGTTCCCAGTCTGAATTTTTCTCATTACATGCCCCTGTTTTTGTTTCATTGTCTATTTTCCCTGTACTTCCTATAAACTGGTAGTTTGAGCTGAAAGGCTTGATAGGGTTCTGGTTCAATTTCCATTTTCTTCTTCATTCTTGTTTGGACAAGAATCCTTCATGAGTGATACAGTAATCTTCCTCCTGGAGATACATACTATCTGCTTCTCACCTTAATGCTGTGATCTTACTAGCCACTGATGATTATTACATAGATGATATCATTAATGAGTCAAAGAATCCCAAATGTTAACGTTCCAATTACATGACTCCTTCCTCAATTATTAGCTGGAATAGTTCTATAAAAGGAAGTTTCCCAACAGCTTCATTACTCTGAAGTGCACTTCACACAGGAAAGGCAGGATGAGTACTAACTTCTTTCCCTTTACCATTTTGAAATGATGAGTGTATTCCTTAGCTCTTCCCAAGGTGATCAACGAAGTATTTCTCGAGAGTTAAGATGAGCTCATGAATTTAATTATAAATCATATGTTTTGTGCATTGCAGCTAACTGATGCATGAACAGCCTTCACTGCCCAGTGGAATCTCTTCAAGTTGGCTCATGAGATCTTTCGATAGAAGCATAATTCTACTCTTCAACAGATTCCTTGCTTTTTTTTAGATGCTACTGGTAATTTTCCAGGGTTGTTTTGCATTTTTTCTACCCTATCCTTGAATTACTCATTTCACCATTCCTCAAAAGGCCCCCTTCTAAAAAAAAAAGTTACAAATAGTACTTAAAGACTATTATCTAGTGTTAGGACTTCTTGCTACAGGATTGGATATAATACTTCATTCACTGGACAGAGTTAGGAAAGGGTTTCTTTTTTGTTAAGTATATCATCAACTCTTATGCTATTAAGACAAAATTATGCAATGAAGGCTTTTAACTTAATATTCTTGTTTTTATGTTTGTTTCTCCTTTCTCCTATGCTGTCATTTCTCATACCCAATGACATCATAATTACTTACTGCTTTTTCTGAAATTACATGCACAAAAGTCTGAGAATACTAATACCAAAATTGTTATTTTGACTACTTTTCAATTATGATTACAAAAAAGTCATTTTGCTTTTAGATTTGGTCAGCTAGGAACCTACAGTTGAATTACTCTGATCAGAAGTGCTTAGAATAGTCCTTCGCTATACAGACAAGTCACCAACAGGATACACATTTATGATTGTTTACTCATATTTACTTTGAAGTTTTAAATTTTACTAACATTTAATTTTGTCTTATAAAGATACCAGAGTCAAGTTTACAAAAAAAAATTAAAAAAAAAAGTCAAGGAACTTTAGCTCCTATAGCTTTTGCTTTCATCTTATTCCCTTCTTCTCCTATAGTTATTTTAAATGTTATGGTTTACCCATCTATTTTGTTAATAAAAACATACTCTATACATCCTCACATACTATTTCACTTAACATTGTTAAAATTGCAATTAACAAGACAATGATTCTCATCTGGTGGCAATTTTTTCCCCCAGGGAACATGTGCAGAGCCTGGAGTCATTTTTGCTCGCCACAACTGGAAGGAGAGACGTTCCTGATGTCTACGGGGTGCAGATCAGATGTACTGCTAAACATCCTCCAATGTATAGGGCAGGCCCCAACAACAAGTAACTATATGACCCTAAATATTAATACTTCTGTTAAGAAACCCTACACTATAGCCTGAAGACAATTCCACAGCAGTGTAAAGATATACTTCAATGGGTGAACATATCACTGTTAATTCAACCAGTCTTCTATTGGTGTTCATTTAAGATGTTTCCCATCTGTCCAGGGCTGGTGTTGTAGTGCAGCAGGTCAAGCAGTTGCTTGTGATACAGGCATTCCATATGAGGCCAGTTTAAGTCCTGGCTGTTCCACTTCTGATCCAGCCTCCTGGCTAATGAGCCTGTGAAAGCAGCAGAAGATGGCTCAAGTGCTACGTCTCTGCACCCACATGGGAGACCCAGATGGAATTCCAGGCTGCTGGCTTAGGCCTGGCCCAGGCCTGCATGATGCTATGGATGTCTGGGGTGTGAACCAGCGGACAGAAGATTGATCTCTCTTTCAAATTAGTAAACCTTTTGAAAAAAGATGTTTCAATATTTCCTCTTAGGAAGAGTGTTCAGAGAGGAGTCTTGTGCCCGTATCTTTTCACATACACGCTAGTAAATATTTGGTGACTAGAATTGGGACTGCTGTATCAAAGGACAAGTGCTTATATAGTTTTGTCAGATATTTCCATATTTTTCCCTTCCTCAGATTTTTATCATTTTGCATTCCTATAACTATATATAAGAATGACCGTCAGGCAGCCTTGCTAACAGGTATCTATTAAGACTTTTGGAAATTTTTACCCATGTGATAGAGGAGAAATGGTATCTTAGTGTAGTTTAATTTGCATTAGTCTTATTACCAATGGTGCTGAGAATTTTTCCTTATATTTAAAAGCCATTTGCATTTCTTTTTAAGTTGTATCAGCTTACTTTTCTATGAGTTAGATGGTATTTTGTTTCATTTTTGGAAGCTTGGTGGTATAAATTGCAAATGTTTTTAATTTTTTCATATATTTTGCACAATGATTTTTACCCTGCAAACGTGAGTACATAAATTTGTTTTCCTTAGTATTTCTCAATGTTAGAGTTTCAAACACTTGAAAGAATTTCCAAATTATAGACAAACACACCCATTTTAAAAGTTTATTCATTTTTTTTTCTAGAGACAGAAAGAGAGTGTCCTCTAGTCTGTCTACTGGTTTACTCCCTAAATATCAAAAAGAGCTATGGCTGTAATGGACTGAACTCCATCCAGTTCTCCTGCAGCTGTGGCAAGGACCCACATACTTGAGCTATCACCTACCATCTCCCAGGGTGTGAAGTAACAGAGAGCTTGAATTGGAAGCAGATGGAGAACTCAAACCCAAGCATTCTGATCTGGGATATGGGCATCCCAACCAGTGTCTTTACTGCTGTGCCAAATGCCTACTGCCCTCATCTTTGGAAAAAAAAAATAGCATTTGAATGTTTCCTTTTCTTTCATTTACATTTGTACTTCATTTGGAATTTTTATTGGTGTATTATACGAGTAGTCCCAGTTTTTTTCCCCACATGAGTCTCCATTGAGATCAATGACCTTTTTAAGAAGAGCATGACTTTCCACTGATTTGAGGAGCTTTTATTGCATATTAAATTTACATATGCAATCAATATGTTTCTGGATTTTATGTTCTGTTCCATAAGTTCATCTGTATTTTCATACATCAAAATGCTTTAATTATTCAGGCTTTAAGTCATGTTTTACGCCTGTTTTGCTCTTCAGGGTTCTTCCTCCTATTGAACCTTATAATCAAATTGTATTGTACCTGGCAGAAATTTGATAGTATATTAAATTGGGATTAGGCTAAAAATATAGGGAGAGGGAGGCCAGTGCTGTGGCCCTGGCCTGAAGCACCAGCATTCCATAAGGGCACTGGTTCGAGCCCCAGCTGCTCCACTTTCAATCCAGCTCTCTTCTATGCTCTGGGAAGGCAGTAGAAGATGGCCCAAGTCCTTGGATTCCTACACCCACGTAGGAGACCTGGAAGAAGCTCCTGGTTTCAGATCTGCGCAGCTCTGGCCATTGAGGTCAACTGGGGAGTGAACTGGAAGATGAAAGACCTCTCTTCTCTCTCTCTCTCTCTCTCTAACTCTTTCAAGTAAATAAATAAATCTTACCAAAAAAATAAGTCCTCCAACCCTAGACTTCTCTTTTTCATTTGTTCAAATTTATTGTTTTGTTGTTCTGGTAAATTTTACTCAGGTATGTTTTAAACACTTTTTAAAGTTTATACACACACAATATAACATGGGATTATTTTCTCCCAATAAACATTTTTGCTGTTTTACTGTATATGTTACATATTGAAAGCGGTATTTTAACTTCATAACCTGTTAACCAAATTTTCCTATAATTTGCACTAGTTTTTCTCTTCGTTCTTCTGAGGTTTTCAGACTTATGACTATACAACAGGGAAATACAGGTAGCTTTACCTTTTTCTTTATAATTCTTATGACACAAATTGCTTTATTTTGTCTAACAGCATTGACTGATGCTTAGAGCACAATGATGCATAGCTGTGGGCTTGGTGATTTTCTGTGAATCTTAGCTGATAGGAAAGGCTGTAATGATTCTCTAGTGAGTATTCCAGAAAAGTATTTACTTTCGTACAGACATGCTTTTTTTTTCCCCAGGAAAAAAGGAGGCAGTAGTACTACCAACTATATGCCGGGACAAGTTGACCTTGGGTGTAAACTTGCTATAGAATCAGCTTTGCTCTAAAGTTTGTCAGAAAAAGAATTAAGAAGTATGCAGATAAGAGTTTTGCGTATTGTTTTTTATCTCCACTGTTTTGTACAACCATACCAGGTTGTTTGGATGTCAATTCTTTATTTCAAAATGTTCAAGTTAACTTAGTCATGATGCTAAAATATTTGTGTTCACAGAAGCAGTTATATTCATGGGATAAAAAAAAAAAAAAGCCTTTGGCCAGCAAGCCTGCCGTGACCTTCAAGAAGTTTTAGTGCTCTTGAAAAGCTTGCCTCTTTCTGCTTGCTTTGTCCTGAGCCTAATCTACAGTCAGAACAAGCATTTCTCTGTAAAAGACTTCCTTCTCCTTATTTGCTTTTTATTTCCCACAGTTGGGGCCATTTGTGAGCTCCTGAACTAACAAACAAAGCAAAGTAATTCTCAAAGATGTTGTGTTCCAAATGGTAATTGAAATGCCCAAAGAAACACAATGGAATCAAAGCAGGAGGAAACCCGAATATAGGAAGTCTCTTCAGAGCTGGTTTCAATGCTGCCCACCACAAACACTTTGGGTTTCGCAGGCTCCTCTAAGCTAACTCTGGACAGAAGCCAAGCCCTGCTTTACAAAGGCTCATGGTATGAAATGTCCACAGTAAGAGTCATAGGGTAAAGGCTCTGTCTTTTACTTGAACTAATTAAATCGTAAATTACTGCAATCCTGCTCTGCCTCTGCTGGCATTTCTCGACCATATTTAAAGCATTCTTCAGTAGTGGTCTCAAGGGTGATGCTCTTATGTTCTCCCTAAGATTTTAAGTTTTGTTTTTGAATATGTAACAGAAAAATCATGTCAGCTTGTACCTGGTTTACAATTTATAAATCTGTCATAGCCATGTCCTACAGCTTTATTATTTTTAATTTCCCAGTGATGAAAATGAGAATCAGAGAAATTAAGGGACATTCCCAAAATTATAATGGCAAGGCCAGGCTTAAACCTGGGCCCTCCAGAGCCAATTCTACGTTCATTCTGTCATATTTTTTCAATGAGCACTTAAGTGAGATACATATGAGTAAATGTATGTAACACTCAAATGTGAGCAAATATATATGCATGTATTTTGAACACTGCTATAGACAAATTCTAATTAAAAATATATATAATTGACATGGCCATTATCAGGAACATTAATCATGAGACTATTTGAAATAGAAAGTCCTCTGCTGCCTTTAAAGTTAGAATTCATTTTCAAATATTGATTTTTTTAAACTTTTATTTAATAAATATGAATTTCTAAAGTACAGTGTATGGATTACAGTGGCGTTCCCCCCCCCATAACTTCCCTCCCACCCACAACCCTCCCATCTCCCGCTCCCTCTCCCATCCCATTCACATCAAGAGTTATTTTCAATTATCTTTATATAAAGAAGATCAGTTTAGTATATATTAAGTAAAGATTTCAACAGTTTGTACCCACACAGAAACACAAAGTGTAAAGTACCATTTGAGTACTAGTTATAGCCTTAATTCACATTGTACAGCACGTTAAGGACAGAGATCCTACATGGGGAGTAATTGTACAGTGACTCCTGTTGTTGACAACAATTAACACTCTTGTTTATGGCGTCAGTAATCACCCTAGGCTCTTGTCATGAGTTGCCAAGGCTATGGAAGTCTTTTGAGTTCGCCAACTCCGATCTTACCAAATATTGATTTCCTTATAAGTTGTTAGGCACAGATCTATTACATGTAGAGAAATTTTTTTTAACAGAAAGTCTCATATTTGAAGAAGTAGCTTGTTGTCCTATTTTACCTATATCCAATTGCAGTTGCTCTCATTATCTCCTAACCTAAATATACAGAGCAGCTTTGGCCACTGCCTCTTTCACCTGCTAAGAATTAGCAAAGGACACTAAAGAAGACAAAAGAAAACACTTGGTGAGAATGATGTCCTGTGAGAATCCCTTGATCTATGGAATCATGGAGCAGTCTTAGTAAAAGTAATTCTTGGCTGGCGCCACGTCTCACTAAGCTAATCCTCCGCCTGCGGTGCCAGCACACCGGGTTCTAGTCCCGGTCGGGGCGCCGGATTCCTTCCCGGTTGACCCTCTTCCAGGCCAGCTCTCTGCTGTGGCCCGGGAGTGCAGTGGAGGATGGCCCAAGTGCTTGGGCCCTGCACCCCATGGGAGACCAGGATAAGTACCTGGCTCCTGCCATCGGATCAGCGCGGTATGCCGGCCGTGGCGGCCATTGGAGGGTGAATCAACGGCAAAGGAAGACCTTTCTCTGTCTCTCTCATTGTCCACTCTGCCTGTCAAAAAAAAAAAAAAAAAAGTAATTCTTTTTCTCCTTTTTAAGTATGTGTTAGGGTGGAGGAAAGGGATAAGACAAAGTCC